GCATAGAATGTTAAAAAAAATATATTGTTAATTAATAGGATTTTCTTTAGCGTCTTTCAACTTCTTGTTCATTGATTGCGAATAAGAATTATATATAATGTGTTGTAAACTGCTTGTGTATGTGTTGTAAACATAGTTTTCTTTTCATGAATCAATTAAATGATATAAATTGAGGAAAAAGGTATTTTTGATGTATGTAAAAATTGCTATTAAGATATAATTTTTAATAACTCATTATAAGAATGATCCAAACCTTCGTGGTTCAAAGTATTTTATCATTTGAATCTGAAAATTTGAACATAGAATTAAAATAGATTGATATTATAGAATGCCCGGTTAAAAAAATGTAATTAATATATTGAGCCCATCGAAATGATGGATAATTATTATTCCTGGTATAGGATGTCAGTTTTTAAAAAAATAGCTATTCTTAACTAACCGCTGCTCACAACTGATATTTCAATGGAACGGTTTGATAGTATAGAATAAGATACAGATTTAATTTTTTATATAGCATTCTACGGTCTTTTGGGTTTCTTTTCAAATTCATTTTGAAAGTTGAAGAATTCCCGGTCAAGTGATCTGTGGATAGGAACATAATTCAAAATCTGATCTCACTAAAGAAGAGTATAACTCTTCTTTATTTTTTTATAAATGTAGCTTCTCTTGTTGTTTTTTGTATCAATTTTTACTCATCAGAAATATTATTATTTTAATTTTAATGCTTCTTTAATTTTTGTATAAATTATTTAGAACTTTATTCGATTCCTTGCCAATTTTTATCAATTTATCTAGACCAAGGAGAAATTTATATTTTCTTATGTTATAAATTAATTTTAACTGAATATTTATTTCGAAACACCGAAAATTTATTTTTTTTCATCTCAAAGTTTATTTTATGTAAGCATTGGTTTTTTATATTTATAAACTTGACATTATGCTTAAAAAATGCTATATCCTATCCTTCATCCTTGATCATTTGTTTTTTTTTTTTTCAAAATCCTACTTCCCAACCCTCCAGTCATGACGAATATCCTGAATTCCTGTCACATCAATGCACAATCCCTTACTGCACACTAGAATGAATTTCAGGAACATTTCCTTGATAATTTTTACCACATAATAGCAATATCTGAAACCTAGTTAAAACCTTTTATCTCTTACTCTCAGATTTCCCTACCCAATTATTCCTTCCTACTATTGTAATAGTATAGAAAAGTAAAATTGTAAATAGTTACTACTGCAAATATGTATATAAATTATTAGAGCGTTCTTCATTATTTTTATTTCATGTTTATTTTCAATTTTTTGTTTTTTATTTTTAACTGATCTAAATTAGTAAGTAACTTATAATTTTTTCTATTATTTTTTTCTATTTTTGACTATTTAATTACTGTATATTTTTGTTTATGTATCTCTAAGGCTCCTTATCCCATATTATTGTCTTTTATTCTATTCTAAAGGGACTTGTCCCAGAATAAATAAAGCATTATTATTATTATTATTATAACGGAGATAGTGGTGTGGGAAATATGAGAACCACATTTTTTTTTATTTCACTGATCTTTCTTTTTTCAGTCTTATGTTATTTTATTAAATACAAATGTATCTCTTCAAATTTTACTGTTAATATTACAAATACCACGAATTAATCAACGTTTACTGATCTTAGTCAAAGGGTAATCTCAGTATCATTTTCATTATAATTATATCTTATTTCATTTTAAACACTTGCGTCATTAGTTGTTGTTTCATTCATACCATGTCAAGGTATAATGAAGATATTTCTATGATCTTTCTTAATTCAAAGTTTAAGAATTCCATATTTTGTCGTAATGCCGCCTTAACATTTTTCTGAGTACCCGACATGCTCTTAAATGAATGGCCAGTTTCTTTCCATCCAAAAAACTTTTTAGTGTGTACACTTATTCAACTTGATTTATCGCTTTGATCCCTAATACAAATGTTGTTTACCTTATCATTAAATGAATTTTAATTAACCCAGCTGTGAATCAAGCCCATCATTTTTCGAACCAGGCATCATGGTTCCCTCATGTGGAATACCACCTAGCCTTCTGGGAAGGGTTCTTAGTGAAAGGTGTGTGATACGCACGCCGCACCATTTTTTTTTGTAAAAATTTTAATCATCATGAATTATTGTAAATTAACTAAAATAAACTACTAAATAGTAATAAAAAATAACTAATTTCTCTGGTAAAAAAAAAAAAAAAATCAGTATAATATGGGAAACTGTACTTTCAACAACTTATAATTTACTTTTTGTATAATCGAGTGTTTTAATAAACGTCATTGATATTGATCTCGTAGATATTAGGTTATTGAGATAAGTAGATTTTTCTAAATTGAGTTTTAAAATAAATTAAATATTAAAATAACTCAACCAATGTCTACCAACCTATTACAAATTTGTGCAGTAATTTTCGTATGGGACGAAATACTGCCATGTTTCCCGTGTTGAAAAATTAAAAAATCTCAGGGTATTATAAAGAGTCTTGGGAGCAAAGCCTTACTACCTCTCTTGTCCCGAGTAATTGCGTGGGTTCCATTAGAAATATTAGGACTTGTGATGTCCAGGCTTTAGTACGGAAGATATATGCTGTAATGCATAATTAAATAATGATCTTAGCTAGTAATGAATAAATAGTGGAAAATGTTTTTAATTAAGTTACTCAGATCATATTTAATTAGTAAATGTTCAGTGAAAATGATACACCCCGTAGAAAAATAGGAAAAAAACTTCAATGGTTACAGTAAGTAAATAAATCCAGAAATTCTTAAACAGATTTATTTATAATCACATTTTAAATATGTACAAACTCAATAAAATTAAAATATTCAACTGTGTTATTGAAAAAAAAAAATGGATACTTTTAACTCATAGTCAAAATAATACACCTCACTTCTTATTAACTATTAAATAATTTAATTTAATTCAATACCTTGTACACAAGCCATTATTTTCTACCACTCCTTTCAGTCTGTTTGTAATGGAGTCGTCCATTTTTTTGGTGATTCCGAGCATAGCCTATTCCATTCTTCGAGAAGATATTTTTTAAAATATTGAAGAGAAGAATAGTTGGGGTGGTCAGTCAAAAAAGAAGGCAAAAATAAATGATAATATTTATTTTTACTCATGCCGACGTTTCGACCTAAAGTTCAGGTCTTCTTCAGGGCTAAGAAAATAAACAGATAACAAGGTATGAAAAACATAAGTAGTGATGGTAAAAAAATAAAATATAAAATATAAAGAAATAGATAAAATAAAAAAATAAAGTAAAATGAAATTGTTAGAATAATGACAATAGTAAGAACTAAGAGATAAATAATAATAACCGTTACAATGTGTGGAATGATGAAGTAAGCATAATCAAAAAGGGTGACATAAGTGTTAAAATGGGAATCTTAGAATAAAATCTGAAGCATAAAAAAGAAATATGAAGTTATATAAGAAATGAAAATAAATAGTAAAATTAAGACATTGAGAATGGAGTAGTTAGATAGAAAATTGAAACGTAAGAAACGTCAGCATATGTAAAAATAAATATTATCATTTATTTTTGCCTTATTTTTTGACTGACCACCCCAACTATTCTTCTCTTCATTATCCACGACAGTCAACCATTTACCAATTATGTTTTTAAAATATTATTTGCTAGTAATGTTTATAATTTCTATCTCCAATTTTGCCCACAGGTGTTCTATCACATTATAGTCTGTTGATTGTGGTGGTGTTTTTATAACTTTGGGACAATTATAAAGTAGCTAACATCACAGGGTGTTTGGGATCATTATCCTGATAAAAACAAAATTTGTTTTTTACCCCAAATTTTCCACAATTCCTTTGAATTTTCTTCTCAAAGTGTATATGTAAACATGTTTATTCACTTTACCATGTGAATATTTCCACTTTAAAGTGAAAATTTCCTACACCAGAAGCCGCAATACATCCCCACACTTAGAAACATAACAAAAGAAAATAACATAAAACATGATATAACGTAATTTAAAAAAAAGGAAATAACACTTTACTAGGTATATTGATTAGAATAAATTATTGTCTTTAGTGTAGTATAAATTGAACTATTTATTTATTCAGTAATATCTATCCATATCCGGGTGTTTAGGCAACTTTTCCAATTATAGCAAAATAACTTGAAACATGAGTTTCAATAAGGCAACATTCTAAATTTTAAGGCAACATTCTAATTTTATACAGTGGACTGTATCTCAAGGGATTGGTAGGTTAATGATTGTTCAAAAAATAGCTTACTGGTCTATATGTCAGGCTACATCTTTTTTACCTGGAGGGCCCTCCGCCGTGGCTGTTGGTACTTGCTGGATGACTGGTGATCAAGAAGTGGGCAGAGACAACCAATCGCTCTCAAGGCTTAAGTGTTATCTTTTATCTTTTAGATCTGCCCCCACCTCTCGCCGTAACGCGGGAAAATTTAAACCTTCCCTGGCACAACCACCAGGTGTATCATTTTGACTGTCAGCCTCTGTTAAAGATTTAAGAATTTTAAACATTCTAGTTATGATATTAATAATGTAAAAACAGAAACGCTCGTGGCTTCATACAACGTTCAGAATATCAATATTCTATGTGTTTATTGTTCTTAAGTTTATTGAACACATTAAATGAGTACTTCGTTCCGATTTTTTTACTGAGTTTTTTTTTATTATAAAATCCCGATTTAGGAATCGTGCTGGATTTAACAAACTAAAATATTCTTGAAACAACTAAAAGTATTCCAGATAGAAAAAATGTTTTAACGGTGTTATTTACGCTCTTAGTCTACGAACTATACGCAGAGTTTCGAATAGATGTTTCAAGTTTTTATGTTTATGTGTTTTATGTTATTATTCATGGTAATTTATTCATATGTCGAAAAATATCTTCCTCGCATTATGATAATTAAATATTTGGGACGAGATTCGGGGCGTTGGGATAGAATATACTGTGTGGGGATCAATAATCCTCAATCTCCTACATATCCATTTTGGGGCGCCAGCTCGCTATAGCATTTTCCATATTTGATCAGTGGGCAAATAGAAGAGCCGGGGAATCCTTGAGCACAAGGCCTCACGAAAATAGGATGGGCTTGGAGACCAGGAGTTCCGATATTATCTGCCTGTCATTAGCTTGATAACTGACTCTCAAGGCTGTACCTTTCCATCCTATTACATCTCTTGTCTTCTTTTTAAGGCTGATAGCCATTTTTATTTTATTATTCCATTTTTTTTTCGGTTTTTCCTCTACCACCTTAATCGTACATATTCAGCATGAATGAACGAATGTATGAATTTATTGTGTTGAGAGAATGAGGTGAGTAAATATCAACCCAAGTAGTAAAAAAAGAAATATTTAATTTTAATTGTTAAAGCTTATTTTAATGTAGGGTAATTTCACCAGTGATGTGCGTAGCTAAGGAAATTTAAGTTTTTTTTTTACTTAAACCGCCGTAATTATTATATCTTTGAACTTTTGTCTGTTGGACATTTATAATCTCTAGGATCTCCTTTTCCTTTTTAATACTTTAAAATTCAAAAAAATATTTAGTTACGCAAGTATAATATCTACTTAAAAAAAACAACACCTTTTTGCACTTGTGATGCACACCCCATAATTCAGTTGTTCTAGTAATTGACAGGAGGTCGATACCAGACCTATAGACGTACCTCAGAAAAATTCTAAAATCTTTATTTAACTATAAAAATAACGGTAAAGATGAGATAGCGTAAACGTTCAACTTACTCTTAGCAAAACTATTAGTAGGAAGATATGAAACTCACTGATCTCAAGAGCACTAAAGAAACAACGATGATAGACATTTTAAAATTTTCTTTTGGTAACTTTGTTCATACAGTTGTCAATAGATAGCATTGTTCTTCATTCTAGAAAAGACTGGAACCTTAAATCAACAACCTGTCTATCACTGAGCCTCCTGTCCATAACTGGTACGTTCACCAGAATACTTTTTACATAATTACTTTTCTAAAACTTAACTCCTTATTTTATTTTTTAAAAGTTAAATAATTAATGTTTCGTACGCTTGTTCATCTTCATAACCACTTACTACTTTCCGAAAAACACATTTCCAGTCATTGGTCTTTCTGTACCAAGTTATCTTGGGAACCATTTTGTTGCTTCTTTTTTGTTTTGTAGGTTTTTGATTACTGGTGCGTAAAAGCAAAAACGGCTCTAACGATTTTGCTGAAACTTTCCTCCAATTGACTATTTCTTCCTACGTTTTTTAATTTTTATGCATTTAGTAAATCTCAGTGAAAATTCAGGAAGTGGATTCTTTACGTTTCAAAGCCACCTCCTTCCCCCACTCTCCCGAATCCGAAAAACATATTTTCAGCCATTGGTATGTTTCTCTTTCTGGCTGTTCTTCTGTTAGCACCCTTTTTCTTTTAAAGGTTGTTAAATTTCAGACAAAACTTAAAAAAAAAATATGTCTAAATAGGATCAGTTTTGGCAAAGTTTCAGTGTACAGTGTAATGCTTTTTACACGCTGATTTGAATGATGGTACCCTTTTATATTGTTTTTGTGCATACAAGAAAGCGTCCATTAATCATTGATATTGTTTTCTAGAACAATTATCTAAGTCAGTTGTTTTTTTAGAAGTATTTAAAATGCCATACATTTGTCTAAAATGGGAAAGTCGTGCGAGTAATATCAGATTTTATTCTTCCAATTTTATGATATTTATAAGGCTACATGACTAAGTAACTTATAATATTTGTTTACGAAATAGTTACTCATCACTCATTCCTCAATCTAAGCGGCCACGTTTCGCATCCATAACCCTTGGAATGATAATGGTTTTGTAAATTCTTGTTTCAGTTTTATTACAGAAAAATAGCAAGAATTTCCCCGCTTTCAACCAAACCTCTCCAACTAAGTCTCCTCTTGAATTTCGTTTTATCCATCTATCTTAGACTCCAGATTCCTCGTGTTATTTACTTGTTCAAACGTATTTCATCCTGAATCAATAGCAACAAAAGTAACTTGAGTTAAATATTTTGTATTAGATAAATGGGCCAAAATGTTGTTCGCATGTAACTCTGGTAAGAAACAGAAGGACAAAAATAAATAAACCATAAACATCTTGTGGTTGACGATTTTAAACATACAGAATCAGAAAACAACATGATTTTTATATTACTAATAAAACATAAATAACTATTGTCGTATAATCATTTTAATAATAATTACATCGGATAGTTTATTATAGACGCGACTAAACTAATTGAGGTAATAATTTTTTAATACAACTATAATTATAGATAATTTATTAAGAGATGTTTTAAAAATCTGTCTGGTGATTCCAGTTGTTGAGTTTACCAATAACCAGACGTGGAGACTGATGTACCTGGGCTGTAGACCCTCAGGTACAGAACGGACGTAGACGATGACATCATCAGTCTGCCTTGCATAATCATTAACTTTAGAACAGCCTGGGATTATACCGACGGTTCTTGAACTCTCAGCATAATCTTTGAGAAACAACAACCTGTAAATAAAATACAACTAATGCTATTATATTTGATATCAGAGCCAATAATAATAAATATTATTTAAATGAATACAAAATTATTTTCAAATTTCTCTATTACTAGGACTATTAAATAACCTGCCTTATCTGTTTGCCTTAATTAAAGATTATGAAGCTGCTAAACTTGTTTTTAAACAAATTAATTTTGAGAGAAAAAACAAAAAAAACTTCACAATTAAGGAGTTCAGTCGAACAACAATTTATGTTTCATAAATTTAATGTTATGTTTTTTTCATTATACTTTTTTATTGGATTACTCAAAAAGCTCATTCAGTTACACTGTTATATACAGTTATTAAATTCTGTTTTTTTAAAAATATATTTCAATTGTTAAAATATTATATAACATGTTCTTTCTCCACTCTTAAATTTTTACTAGGGTCTATTTTAAACGAATTAATTATATTTAAATTTGTGTAACAATAGTTACATTTATTGTGTTTCATTTGTTTGTCTGTGTCTTCTTTATTGAATTATATTACATTCTGTCACAACTAAGAACATTGTTAACAGATATGAAAGAGGTTATTCATACCGTTTTCACAATAAATTAAAAAAAATAAATTTAATAACAAAAAAATAAAATAATATTAAAAATAAATATGAATCTAAACCAAGATCTTGATTCATCGATCTTAGACTAATCAAAATAAGAACTTATATCGCTATGCTTAGCTTTAAAGTTGAAATAAAGATTTATTTATAATAATGACAATTTTGTTTGACTATACGGAACATTTATCGGTCGTTGCCAATTATAATATATTGGATTTACAAAAGATAAACCTTTTTTTTTTTTTATCATTTTAAATAATTTGATGTTATGGAGTTTGCAACAATAAGAATAAGATGTAATTAATATAGTAAATAATATGATGGTAGGATCTAAATAAGATTTTATATACATAAGAATATATATCCATAATAATACAAGAATAAGAGTATATAACTAATATGGCAATATAGGAATAAGATCAACTAATTAATAATTAAAGAGATTAACTAAGTATAATATAGTAGAAAATAATAATAAAATAATGAAAGAAGGTAAACTAAAATACTGAAACTAATTCTAATGTATTAATATCTTTTTTACCAGCAATAAAAAAAAATCGTTGATTTTTATAATGCAATAATCAGGGTGAGAGCATATTTTATTAATGCTGATATTGCTAATCTTACCATGTAGGTCACATTAAACCTATTCATCACTCCACATTAAATTATCAAATTTCATCAATTTTTATATCATACAAATTATTTTTATATTATATAATATATTCATAAATTTTTATATTATAACTTGTAAATTTTGGTCAGTAAAAAAAGCTTAAACTTCAACCCAACAAGAATTGCTCCATGGTATTAATAATTTTAAGTAATCTTCTATGATTAGAATTGTGTCCTCGAACAAAAATAAATGATTTGTAAATAATATACCTATAAGCTTTTAACAGTCGAGTCAGCCAGTTGAATTGATTGATTAATGGTATTAAACTGTAATATCTAATTTAACATTACCTTCACTATAATTAACCTGATATATTAGCCTATCAATAGACTAAACATTGATTCCATTGATGATTTGATTGAAAATTTAGTCATAATCACTATTTGATTAACGCTATTAATCAACTTGATATTGGCACAGTGCCCCGTCCCTGGCCTAGATTGCTTTACAGGGGAGGGTGAAATTTCTCCTCTCATAAGTATTATTTATTTACATTTTATGAGTTGAATTACCGAACTAACTCGTTTTTGTTAGTTGGAGAAACGGTGTTAGTGATATATCGATGGTGTCTCTTTTTGCTGTTATGTTGTTTAGTGTTTATCTATGCCATCTGTTTTTGTTATATTTCTGAATTAGTAGCGTTTGTGATACTCAAAACTTTGTTTTTGTTATATTTAATCCTAGTTCTAACATTATTATTCATTTATTATTATTTTTTTACCCATAAATTTCTTTACCCACAAATATGTAATTACGTGTTACGAAAATTTCATATACAAAAGATGTCCTAAACGAAATAATTTATTCAAACATTTTTGAATTTCCAATTGGATTAAAAAAAATTATAATTATAAATAAACAAAATTTTAAAGCTGAAATCAGGAGAACAAAAATTCCTTGTCAAATAGAACAAATATAAATATATATATATATATATATATATATATATATATATATATATATATATATATATATATATATATAGAAAGATAGAGAGAAATATGCTTTCCCAACTTTTGTTACCTTGTTAATTTTAGTTTAATAATATATTAAACTATTCACTCAAATGTCCATCAGGTTTCTTTTCTTTCTTCACTTGAAAAATTGTCCTATATCATTTTTAGCATTTGGAAATTATTATATCTATTCAATAATTTAAACGGTAAATAAAATAAATGTTGGTGATTCGATTCTTATGAACGACTCTTCGAAACTTTTTTTTTCTTTCTTTAAATTAAAAAGCAACTTTTTATTGAAAAAATGCTTCTTCTATTTTTAGAAATTGAAAATTGATCGATTCCGAGCAAATCCTGATTCTTTCGGTTTGAACCACTTGAGATCGTGATTCTTTCAGAGGAATAAACTCTTTCATTCGATTCATTCACCCATCCATCTATGCTGTTAACCTCGTTGAATGGACTTCATATCGGTATGCCCTGATTTGCATTTAGCTAGACAGTTGAAGTACAAAATAATTTTAATGTTTAACTTTTAATTAAAAATGTATTCAAATTATTAAGGCTAATGCACATCGACAATTAATATTTTGGTTCAAATGAGCTTTATAAATGTTTTTATGCTCTTCAGCAGTTATAGAAAATTTATTCTGGCTGCCATCTTTCTTCGAATTATTCCCTATAATCACATCGGTTTTGAACAAACATATCGTATTCTTTAAATGGTATATGATACTATTAATTTATTTTTTAACTTTTTTACGATCTAGTATTCAAATAACTGAAATAAGAAAAGTCTGTATTCTTTCGTAAAAGATTATTTCTTCTTATTGTTTCTAAGAGAATACTTTTAAGTAATCATCCATTTTATTGCTATTTTATTCATTTAGTTTTTTTTTATTTTGTTTATTATTAACTCAAGGATTCTACTCACTCTGAATACATTATTATTCCACTCAACACATCTCATTCTCCCCTCTCCCCACCATTGTCACGTACTATATTGATAAATGTGTGTTCGGTACTCTGTCTAACACTTGTCTTATTTAAAAGCTTTAGAAATGTACATGGTCATCGTCCTGTGTTTATTTAAATTTTCCCATTTGTAGATTGCGTAATGTTTTGCATAATGAAGTATTTTTCTATTATAGGCGATCATGCTTTGACAGACAACCTTGAGCTTCTGTACCGCTGTAATTTATAAATCTGATATTCAACAAACTGAAAGATAATGTTATATTTATCAAATATATTTGTGTAATTAAGTACTTAAAAATACGGGTATTGAATTGGTGTTTTAATTTTTTCATAAGTCTTTTAATTTGGTCTTTTAATATTTCAAACGTAGATCAAATTTAGAAATCCAAATTGGTTAAAAGATTAGAATAGGCTTCCATAGTAACATGAGCTTAATATAATACGGACTCCGACAATATTATGTACGTATACTTATGCGGTTTTCCTAAATGTTTTCGTTGGTCCTATTTAATATTTAATTGTATATATCACTTCGATATAAACATTAAAATTTGTATATATAAGGGTACTTAAACAAATAAAAATATGCACAGTGAAATATAAATCAATATAGCGTTTATAATTTTTACTTTCGCTTCCCCTTTGTCTGAAAATACTTATTTCTGCTAAGAAGAGGGTGGTGAGTAAAAGTCGTGTGATGCGCGTATCACACCAAGTTTTTATGTATAATACTTAATTATTAAAATCATTTATATCTTACTGATAAAAAACCAACAGTTTCTTTAACTTTAATATCATAAATATTTATTAAATAACTAATTAAAAGGGCCGCATTTCTAAATTGACACAAGTTTATTATTATTCAGATCATACAAAAAAAAAAAAAAAGGAAAATAAAGTATATACATATAATATTATAATAAAAATAATATTGAGTTCGGCGCAGGACGATAAACGTATTCCTGTGCGAGGGAAGGTTTATTATTTTTTAGTCTTGGTGAAGAATTGTTTAAGAATATACAGATTCATCGCATTGAATCTTGAAAATTTAATATTTGTTTATAATGCCAATCTCCTAAACATATTCGGAATCTTAGTATATCAGTAATATTCAAACCCGTAAAATAGAATCAAAAAATAAAATATACGTTACGTGCTTATAAAGATGACAATTTTTTAGCTGATATTGTTTTTTCCTGCTTTATCTTTACTAACCTTAAAGATCTTTGCTAATCTCAGAGAATAATGTGTAAATGGTCGTTTTAGTACTGTTTATTTATTTTCTTATCTAACATTCTTATCTAAAAAAATATGTTTCACTTCGTGATATCTACTTCGCCTTCCTTGAAACCTAAAATGAAACATTCCACTGTTTCCATGAAAGAGCGGATTTTCCGCATATGTTTCTCGGTGATTTTTATAAATTTGGGTCTTTTATTTGTAAGGTGCACATTTTGTTTTTATTTTTAGCTGTTAAAAGGAAACATTTAAATACAATAGGACTACTGTTAAAAATAAACAATAGAGCACAGTAGTTGAAAGATTATATTTAGATTTTCCTTTTCGACAAGATTATCTCATGCCGAGGGTCTTGTCCTTGCTGTAGACCTTCATTCGCGGTTCCGATCACTTTCATTGTTTAGTTCAAAGTCAGGAAATTAACAACGCCTGGGGGGATAACCTCTAAGTTTAGTGAAACGAGAAAATTGTCATTTATACGTTATTTAAAACAAAATAGTTCATCATAATGCGATGTTATATCCTATGTGCATCCCCACATTGTTTTGAAACTATTGTTTACATCCGTTGTTCGTAAATTATTTTGGAATATCTTTTTGCCCCGATGAGAAAATTTCGTAAGATTATTCACAAGCTATTTATGAAGGTTTATTAATTATTTAATTAACCTCATGATGAAGGATATTAAACGGATACCACTATAGACCTTGATGTAAAAAAAAAAATTCAATTATCTACCTTGAAAATTTGACGCAAAAAAATGTTTTTTTTTTCGATTCCAGTGAAAATTTGGGGGTTATCGAGGTGCGAAATACAAATATCAACTTTGTTTCTCTTTAAAAAAATACTTGAGCCCACTTTATTCCTACGGCCGCTACGATTTCTTTCATTTCGGAGATAATTCTTATCAATTTCAATGATTTTTTTTTTTTGTATGAAATTCAGAAAGCTTTCATATAAGTATTGGTATTATCGATAAAAAAAATTTTTACTTTTTGGATTATTCGCAAATAAAATACTGAATTCATCATAAAATGTATGCAGCATGTTTTCGGGAAAGTATGTTTTATATACATAAATTACAAAGGTTTCAAGGGGAAGACTTAAGCCGAGTTTCATTGAAATCGTTGAAGCTATATCGTATTGGCGCTATAGTCGAAAAGCGAATCACGTTTTTCTGCCCCCATTTCGAAAGAAAAGGCCTGGTCATAATGGAACGCATACAAAAACACTTCTAAATATTATTGCGACGTTGTGTCAAACTTTAAAAGAAATCGGTGAAGAACTTTCTGAGATTAGCCGTTTTGAACAAACTACCATTTATATATTTATTTAACTACTATTTCATATTTGTATTTATTGATAACACTAAAGCTCGTCAATAGCTATTAAACAAAAAAAAAAGAAGGAAGAAAATCGGTTGAATAATAGAAGAGTAAAAGGGGTTGAACCGATTTATGTTTGCCTATTTATATAACGATATTGGTAGATGGGGGGAGGGAGGGTAATGTGGTTACCATTTTCAGAGCCACTATCAAATTTGTATTAACAGAACTTTTTTTTTTGCACCACTGTAATAATTTATCGATAATTTATATAATTTTCAAGGTGATATTGCATTTGTGTTGAAAATTTATCTTATAACCAGAATCCGGATTTTACTAAAACGAAATAAACTTCAACTTGCTATAGCCGGATGTGAACCAGCGTCACTATACTAGAGAATTTTTTTAAGTTTTCGCTTTAAAGCACTCTGCCATCACCGAGCGAGATTCGACGTTGACGTCACCAAATAGCTGTGAGGTCCTTGCCTTTTTAAAAATTCCTCAATATTCAGATTAATGAGGCTAGGTATTGCCTCACTACATCTTTTCCTACCTTGTTGGTTTTCTACTCTGTTATGTACATATTAATTTCCTCGGTGCTTTTAAATAATGCATCATACGGAGCATGTTGTGGCTGTATAAAAATAAATAATACATTTTTATTTATATAATTTGTTACTAATTCATTTTTTTTTTCTTTTTGAATAATTTTCATTGAGGTATTGGTTTGTTGTATATTGCAGGTAAGGACCTTTTGGAGTGTGGAGTGCTGTTACGCGGGGAGACGGGTTGGAGTATGAAACGTCCATTGGCAGTGGTGCTGCCCCCGGCCCCAACGGTTCCCGACATGCTTAAGTACCAGGTGAGAGCGGTAAACTTATATCCTCCACATTGCAACCCTTTCTGTAAATCGCTGCCCTCTATCGTTGTCTGTCTTCCGTCTACCGCTCATCTTCGCGTCTTGGTAGCGAAACTTTTGGTGGGGAGGCACAATGGTCCAGAAATCAAATATAGCGCCGGAAAGAAAGAATTTTTATTCAAAATAAATTCTATTTGCAACTGAAGATCTAAATATGACTTTAGATTTATATTGATATTGCACAGGCTCTAAAATAAAAAATAAAAAAAAAATAAAATGAGGATGAATATTTGCATCTGGAGTGGAGAGGGGTAAGGGTGCTGACAGAACTCATATCGATGAACGTTCTCTACTGCACAAAATACCTGTAAAAAAAATATCATTTAAAAGAAAAGTGGCAAGAATGGCTAACATTTATAAAATGTAAATAGAATTATGGCTATAGGATAACATCAAAAATAGAAAATAATTCAGAGCTGATCGTCCTGATGAATCTCCGAAACTTAGGCCGAAACGTCGGCACAAAAGGAATAAAATAATTATTTATTTATGTTTACTGTGTTTTGACTTAACATTCCAACCAATGATTTGATTCTCTTTAATAAATGATCTAACATGATTTTTTTTTTTTTTTTATGCTTGTTTATTGAAATTATTACAATTTGTCTCAAAGGACATTTATAATAGTGTTCTGAGATCACATTCATTCTCTATGTACAATAAAAAAAAAAAAATTATACAGAAAAATAATATATATATATGTATACAATAAATAAGTATAAAATAACCTAAAAATAGAATTATGTATAATGTAATTATGTATAATGTAAATAGAATTATGTATTTTAGGGCTATAGGATAACATCAAAAATATAAACTAATTCAGAGCTAATCGTCCTGATGAATCTCCGAAACAAAGGCCGAATAATAATAAAAAAATAGGCCGAAACGTCGCCACAAGAGGAATACAATAATAATTTATTTATTTTTACAGTGTTTTGACTTAACATTCCAACCAATGATTTGATTCTCTTTAATAAATGATCAATCATGATTTTTTTTTTTTTTAATGCTTGTTTATTGAAATTATTACAATTTGTCTCAAAGGATATTTGTAATAGTGTTTTGAGATCACATTCACTCTCTATGTACAATAAAAAATATAAATTATGCAGAAAAATAGTATATATGTATGTATATATATATATATATATATATATATATATATATATATACACAATAAATAACTATAAAATAACCCAAAAATGAATAAATAAAAAAGAACACATACATACCTAGATACATTATTTACAATCAGATGAGGGAACTCTGAACCAACTGTGGAGGGAAAAGCATGACTCCAGGAGATCCCTGCATTTCTCTCTCAACTGGGGCTAAACCCAGTGGTGATTGAGCGAGAGCGAAATAATTAAAAAAAAAATTATCTGAATTTTTTATTAAACTCAAGATTATTTTTGCATACTCCTTTGTAATGAGCTTTTTGTAATTGAGGAAATGGATTTTAATAATTCTAATTGTAAATATAACATAGCTATGAATCGCTAGTGAGACGAAGAGAATTGTACCGATTAATTTTTGGATAATATTTTCTAAATTGATTTTTCAAATAATGAAAAAACATTCTAACTTATAGATGTATTTATCTGCTCTTAGGAGCTTTTGGAATGAAAACTATCACAGACTGATAAGCTTGGACGTATACAAGATAAAGTAAATATGAACTTAAATTAATTCCAAGTTAAGTGTTTTTACTTTTTCATCCGCTATATTTGATTTTTGGCCCACTGTGGGAGGGAGGGAAATGAAAAATATCGTAAGATAATAAGAATCTGCTTGTGCCTGAATTGAAAACAGCACGTACACACTCCTGTATTTGTATTTTGTTTAATTTAATTAATGTTTAATTGAATATAATGGTTGAATAAATTAAAAAACGCTATTGTTTTGTTAATTGTTATATAGTCACTAACACGTTCAAGTATTAAATGTTTATGTATGCAGCTGCTTTTCTGAGGAGCAAAATAGGACTTGTCATTTTATTGTTAACTTCCTATATTGCTTATTTATTTTTTTTTTGTTATGTCTGAACATATTTTTTTGTCCTTTTATTGTTTTTATAAATAAGATTTTATTGTGAAAAAATTATTCTGGTAAATTAATGAAGTAATCAATTCCAAAAATGCAATTCACACATCTTTTACTTAAGCGTGGTGGCTACACATCTTCATCTTATTTTAAAATTTAACTGGGTTTCACAATAATTTTAATTGTTGCGAAATTCTATTTTAAGTGCACTGTATTTTTATTGAAAAATCTATGGTTTATTAGTTAATATTATATTATTTTTTATTTATGTTTCCACTATGAATTTACTTCTCCGTTGCACTGACATGTTATGTCTGGTTGGACCTTCTGTAGCATTGACCCTTTTCGTCCATTTTTTAAATTTAAATAACAACACACAATTTAAAAACACAGGTTTACTGATTTTGATATATTTCAAAGTATTATGGACCGTTTGTATTGTAAGTATTATTGACTAAACAAAAAAAATTATTAAATTTATAACAATGAAAAATTGTCAGAATAAGCAATTTATGTGGTTTATTGAGTTTGATGACGTTTCGAACGAGCATAGTGTGTGTAGTTTAATGTTCGTTTAAATTTAATTTTAATGTAAATAAACGAGATAGCATAACATGATAGTATTACCCTTCTCTCCATTTATATAAATATAAATGACTGTATATCCTGACTATTTTTCAATTTTTTAACTATAACAGTCATCTATATCTTCATCTATGAATTATTCAAAGTGTAGTTGTATCATTGAATAAAGTTTTAATTAAATAATTTTAAATAATAATTACTATTTTATATATTTAAAACTATTTATATTTCCCAATTCAATGACAATTAGGCCGAAGTACGTTAGTTGAATTCTGTAAGGTTATTGTATAGATGACTGACAGGTAAAACCCTTCATAAAAACCTAATTGTTTTTCCCGAAAAATGCCGGTAGGGATCTGTTATCAATTCTTGGTACGGAAAAGCTCTTCCCTGGTACAACAAATTTCTTTGAAATTCAGAAATATTTAATGTTAATAAATGTATAAAGATTCAACACAGTAAGTATAAACAGATATAAAAATGCCAGACGAAAATGAAATATTTTATTATCTATTGAAAATG